CATTGTTATCTCGTATAGAATTCTCTCCTAGGTGTTTAGTTTGGTTCCTTTCGGTTTTTATTTATATTTTTAATTACAATTATATTTGATGACTGCTTTTGATTCCTTATCTGTACACCTTGCAGAACACAATGGAAATATTGTCGTAACATTAATGTACAAATCTGAATATAAATATGATAAAATAATAAAAACAATATTAACGGTTTTAGATCAAATCTAACATGCGAATAATAGCAGATTAAAATTTAAAACGTTAACGAATGTGAGAATTTAATTTCGTCTCATTGTTTCTTATAGGTTACACCTAGTTAACATATTTACGAAAATAAATGTTTTATTATCGACGGCTTCAAAAATCTCAAAATGTTCATGGAGGGCATTCTTTTCGTGCCCTCCCCCTGTGTGTACACATGTCACTTTTGAACGTCATCATACCTTCAAATGTTGGATGCAAACTACATTTTCAGAAAGGGCTGGACTCTCATTTCCTACTCAACTGTGGAGTAATTAAAGTATGTGTACTATACGCGCAAGTTTTCTTGATATTCCACAGCGGCGGGGGTGGGGTGCGTGGAGAGGAGGGCTCTGGCCACGTCACGGCTTAAGAGGGCGTGCCAACTGTGGGCATGAACTTCACCCACCAAAGCGTGCCACGATTGTTTTAAAAGTGCGAGGTGGTTGTTGCCAGCATTGTAAATTGGTACGTGTCGTTCAGAGTCGAACCTAGTATCTCAACGTGCCGTGCTATTCAGCGCTGGTTGAGGACTAGGGTGCTCGTGTATCAAGAAAACTTTGGTTAGTAATATGTGTGTATGTGAACTTTTTTGCTTCTGAATTAGTCAGTAACAATTACTCAGATTAAGCGCTATTCGTTTCTCTTCATTTTTATTGAAATGATCTCTGCCTTACTGATGCAGGGATTTGCCACATCTAAACTTCACATACATATTTTATATTTATACAGTATAGTTGTAAGGAAGTTATTTTGTTTACACCAGGCAATATACTTCATGACAAGTAACGATTTTAGCACAATCAACCCGCAAAACTGCACAAACGCGCGAATCAAAAACCAGGCATTTGGGAGAGCCTTACCAATCGGGTGGTTCCAAAGAGGAAACAGCTTGGGAGGCACCTTTGTGTCAAGGTAGGCCATGGATCTATGATATAGTTGCGACATGGCGACGGCAGCCTAGAGCGGCGCTGTTGTTCACTGTCGAAGTGGTCAGTTTTCGGCGACACGTCCGTCCACACCACCTGTGCGTCCCCTCCGGACTGCGCTGACACACTAGCGATTCTGCGGATCGTATGGAGATTCAGCCAACTGGACACGTGAACTGGGGACCTTCTGCCGCTGCTGCGTCGCAGCTCACGCCAAGATACCGTCGAGTGGTGTGTGGGTACACTCGGCACGTCATTGATGCTACTATTACCCGCCAACACGTTCTCTTATCTCGCGCTCGGTATCGTGGGACGATCATGGAGGCCGTCAGGTCGTTATTTTGGACTTACGCAACGGGTAGAGAGCGCAGAGGCTTCAAGAGCTCTCATTAGGGATTCAGATTAAGTATGCGTGTGTGTGTGTGTGCGTGCGTGCGTGCGTGTATGTATGTTAGTTCCTACAAACGTGAATAATAGTGTTACTTCCCTACTAAGCGTGCCTCTTGAAATAGATGTTCAAATTTGTAAGGAGTTTCAAATATTTTAGGAATATTGTTAAAAATTCCTTTTTGATTGTAAAATGCACGTAATTTAATAATCTGAAACGCAAGTGGTGTTAAAAATAATCTACCATATTGGTTGTCATACCAGCAGTATACAGAAACGTTCTCAAGGTTAACAGACTCTAGTATGACAAAATGCATTCGGTTCAGTAATTTTAGTGTCGTATACCTACATAATTTTTTGTTTAGTTCTAATATAAATATGTAGTGCCGTAAAAACAGGTTACTGGTTCTCTATGGTATTTTTTCCTTCCATGGGGCAAGGCATAAATAGCTTCCTTTTAAGTTTGCCGATGGCAGAAGGTGATAGAGACAGTAATTTGCTACAGAAGAAAAAAGATGTACCCACCTTTTCTATTCAGCGTCCGCAATACCAGTTTTCTGGCAAAAATTAGCTACTTTTCTGTGCAGCATTACAATACTTTCTATTTGAGGAGCGAGAAAGTAAACAAAATATTGTTAATCATGAAATGCTAACTTGATGTGTTCATGTTAAAACATACAAGTAAAATTCTACCTATTAAACCCTATCGGGTGGGTTTTTGGTTAGCGTGCTAGCTTTCCACGACGCAACCCTGGATTCAATTCCCGGCCGAAGCAGAGCTGTACTAGTGTCTCTTGATGTGTAACGATGATAAAGCCCTCTCTAAGATTAGTATATACAGTGAAGGGAGTCTTCGTGCTAACCACACGAACCCCTTATCGCATGGCCGAAAGGCTGTGCCACCGCTGATCGGCCACGGCCGGTATCGGGCTGGCGAGTCAAAAACAGGACAGGACAGGACTATTAATTAATTTTTATTTGTATTATTTTTTAAACAAATTATTACATGTTTGTGAAATATTGTTTATTTTAAAGTACATTATGAATGAGTGTAAACACTTTATTTAGGCCCGTATATAGTTTTCCTTCAGTTTTAGATAATTTTATTACAAAATATTCGTGAAACAAAAAGGATATCAGTTTATTTACTGTAATATTCTAAAATTTCGGGACAAAAAATGCAATTAGTGTCATTCATAGTTATTAGTATTAAAATTCTTCTAATAGGTGACTACGCGACCGTGAACATTATTGTCGTAACATTATTGAGCAAGAATACCCTTTTGGTCTTTGTAATCAGTTGATAATTACGTCTTTTCCAGCTTCCTATTGCTTTCAATGAATATTGTATGTTTTATTTTTTTATTCGAATTCACCTCGAATGTTTGTTATTAAGAATGAAAACATGATTACTGGAAGTTATGTAGAGATTCTAGGATAATATAATTATCTATGAGTATTTTCGCTATTACCAAGGTCAATTTATTCTTAAACCATTGTAAAATCTTTTTCATTGTGATATTCGTAATTGGCCGGTATGGCAACTGAAACGTTCAGAGATTATTGAAGCGAACAGAAAGTTTACACTGATGAAAGATGGATTTTGAAGGTGGAAGGTTAAAACTGTAGTGATCAGTGTTTTGAATACTTACAACATCTAATTAGTTTTTACAAAGTCATTTCGAATTTGATGAAAAACTCGTGAATGTTGATTGCCACCTAGATTAGCGAAAACCTAACTGTGCAAGAATATAGCAGCAATATTGTAGGTTGTAATCTTGTGCACAATATTACAGTATTGGATTCTAAATAATAGTATTATCCCATACTGGGTGCGAGGAGCGAAACCGATATCTTTGTCCATTCTGTTACGCTCTAAAATAAAAATTAAAGCAATTGTTCTAAAGTAAAAGAATTGTTCCAACACAAAAATTGAAGTAATTTAATCATATATAAACATATCTCCGCTGATTGCTTTGTAAATTTGATCAGAACAAGATGTAAGTAATACATATTATGTGATCGACACTTGAGGAGAAATACCAATACCTGATGCATATTTGCTGTATTTAAAATCTTCGCTGCAGCTCTAATATAAACGCAAAGGTAAAGAAGTAAAAAATAAAAACATTTCGAATCAAATTGCATTTAATTATAACGCGAATTCGTCTTCAAAAATATCATTTGAGAACACGAGGAAAACATATTTTAAGATATTGGATACTATATTTACCTTCGAATTCTAAGTGATCATCAAGGAAAAAATAAATAGCAGTTAATGTCATTAAACATTAGTTAGTTTTCACTACGTTAAATTTGTGTAAATAAATTTACAATAAAATTTGGAAGCAATGTAATAAGTGGGCAATGAATTCGTGCCAAAATGCCAAATGCAGGCCGGAGAAATACCAGTCAACTTACGATATCAAAATATAGTGGTAGATAACGCCAAAACGAATTGGTAAATTCATCAATTTAAGTCTGTAAAAGCTGGTAATTTGCAATGTCTAAATTATCACGCAATTTTAAAAAAAAAATATTATTTTTTAATGTGCACGACGCACCTGGAAAACATACTATCTTTTTGGAAAAGGAGTTCTTACAATGACCATAAATTAAATTAGATAGCTCAGGAGTAAATTGTAATTATGTTTATTCCACTAATCCAACTGATTGCATTCAAAGTTCAACGTCAATAAGAAGTATCCTTCAAGTCTGTTTTGATATTTTTCCTCCAATTGGGATTATATAAAATATAGTCGGCGTTGATATTCTGCTAAAATACAGCCATCACAAACTACAATATTAAAAATATTTGTTTTTGTCTCTTCCAAATTGTGAATAGAAAAATTCATTTTATAATACAAATCATTGCAGAATTCCACTCATTCCAGTTTTCCTTATCATTAAAATCGCATCTATCACAGCTATAAGTGATGCAATCTCCAAGTTTGAGCAGTTTGAACCAGTTTGTAACCAATAAGGTTGATGGTTGATACTTCTCAGATAATGTGGCAATATGTCTACACTCCAGAAATAATTTGTGGAACGTTTCTTATAGAATACTTAACTCTTCAGAAAACACTCTCACGATAACACCAGTACTTTCCAACATCAAGCCAAACACGAGAGAGCGATTTCTTAAGATAGCTCTGTAACAAGTGTGTCATCAATACATTAACATCACCGTTCAGCAGCGTTTCTGAGTGTCTCGTCACTGCTACGAGCGATGATCAGGCCACGACTACAGTGATAAATTCAGATTTGGGGATCAGGACAAAGTGTTTCTACACTGTTGATATTGCAATGTGGCTGCGATCTCATTTGGTTGCACGTGCAATACAGCTGCAGCTGCAGTCAGATTGCTATTGCAATCGCATCGCAGCTACAATCTCATCGCAGTTGCAAATGGTTCGGCGCTGTTATCGCGTCACAGCTACAATTGTATCGCAGCTGAAATGGCGTCGAAGCAGCATTCGCGTCGCAGCTGCAATAGCGTCGCAGCTACAATCGCGTCGCAGCTACAATCGCGTCGCAGCTACAAGCGCGTCGCAGCTATAATTATTCCGCAGCTGCATTCGTGTCGCTGTTGCAATAACTCCGCAGATGCAATCGCCGGGCTTTTACAATCCAGTGATGTGGTCGAGGCGTTTATTGGGGCCCAACGGCGGGGCCAGTGGCGATCCTAGCGACCGGTCTTCCCGCGGAGGTCTAGAGCGGCGTCTTGGCGGGCGAGGGGGCACTTTCGGCGGGATCTTCTTGGGCGTCGGGGCGGCGGCGGCGGCGGCAGCAGCGGCAGTTGGTGGCGAAGGCGAAGTCGCAGGGCCCCTCGTCCTCGCCGAAGAGCTCGCCGTCCTGCAGCGTGACGGGCAGCGCCCGGCCCAGCGTCTCCGGCAGCAGCAGGCACAGCCCGGCGCCCAGCACCGTCAGCGCGCCCAACGTCACGTCCGGGAAGGGCCGCCAGAAGTGGCCCTGCGCCAAGCCAACGCCCGCGCGCTCGTTAGCGGGATGAGGCAGGGGTTTCAGTTAAGCTCTCAAATGACGCAAAAGAATGATCACTTGGGTTACGGAACCGAAATTTGGCAACTAAAAAGGGACGCGATTTCTTGAAAATGTAATGGGTGATACTCGTCTATCAATGGCATTACGTGTGCTTCGATAGTCATCAATAGCTGCAACGTGAGAACGTACGGTATTGGGAACATCCAGAACACGAGTAGTTTTATCTAAACACTTATACGTGTAAAAAGAAGTAATTGGACAAAAAAACCTTCCACAGTTCTACAATGACGATACTACGTAAAAAAATAATTGAACAGAATAATCTTCTATATGTATACAATAATGTAGAACTATATCATTTTTTTAATAGGGAATTGTCAATGCCAATATAAGAACCTGCTACAGCACATCAAAGTCGTAAAAAATAACTATAACGCCAACGAAACCCCACGAATAGTTGTAATATTTGTTGTGTGATAAAAAATTCTAAACCTTATTAGTTTATATTTCAAGAGTGAAAAAATGAACTGATAATGAACACACTATGTGCAAAACAATAATCTGATAGTGCATGATTAACGCAATACATAGTACTCTGCTTATCAGTTAGAACCAATATCTCTCTCAAATTTTTTTGAGAGCTGCTATGAGGTGATAAATGACGAATTAGTACTGCGTGAGTGTTGGGGACTACATTGGGAACCGATCTGAGTTGCAGAATGAAAAACCCATGACTTACGCGGTTCACTTTTATGTTTCTTAAACGAACTCTTTAGTACATCCTGACATTCTTTCGATCCGTTGTCGAAAAAGTGACGCGCGGTGAGCTATGTTGACGTACGGGGAGCAATCGTAAAGGCCTTCTGGATGGATATTATCCGACTCCATTTGTGTACGGTACACGCACCACTTCCCGCCAAGTCAGTTGGTGACCTTAGAAGAGCTCTAAGAGTTTTTAATACTTCGAACGTCCCCCACACCCACACGTCGCACCGTCATGCCGCATATCGACATTCAGATTGCTTGGAATATCAGAGACTCTTATCACCTTAAACGTTGAACAATCAACGCGTGGTATTTTCCCACAGTTTAATTTATTTCCCCCCCCCCCGTTACTAATGGGATGACCGGAGTGTCTGTACCAGGTAGAGGACGTAAGGGCTGAAGAAGGTAGCCGCGTAGCCCACGACGTGCATGGCGGCCACTCCCTGGCCTCGCACCTCGGTGGGCACCAGCTCGGCCGAGTACTGCACGCCGGAGTTGTAGGCCACGTTCAGCGCCAGCCGGCCGCAGATGGCCAGCCACGCCGCTCCGGGACCCACATCTGCGACACAGGCGGTTCAAAGTCACTATTGAAGATTATGTCGTGTTTCCGGCGCGTCAACCGACGGGGTCATTAGTTCCGTAAGCGTAGCGCATGTTTTTTTATTACGGGAGGCGGCTGTGTTCTTTTCCAGCAGGATGCTGAGATCCGGAGTCGTCCTACAAGTCGGCTTGCGGTGTTTTCCCCATCGAGGTATTTCTCACCAGAGGGGCGAGGCGGGACAAACACTTGAGCCCCCGACTTGACCCTATAACTATATATACTACTATATATATATATACCGTATAGTATTATATATATATATATATATATAATATATATATATATATATATATATATTGAAACGAAGAACGTTTCTGTAATTAGAACAATTACAATGATCACCAATTATAAATTAAAATGAAGTACTGGAGTTGATCAGCGCAGTAACGCCGCCGCCGCGCCGCGCCACCAACGCGTAAAATCGGGGGGGAAACGGAGAGGCGAGCGGACGGTTAGTGGTGCGCGAAAAGGCCTCGAGTGAAGCACGGGCGAGTCAGTGGTTGCGTCCAGAGATTTATGTCGTTGTTAAATGCAGTTCGGAAACTGAGTGTGGCTCGCTGAATGTGGAACCGGTTTGATAAGGATTAACAATCAGATGATTAGTGGGAAGCTAGAATTGGCGCACCGAGACTGAAAGAAAAGAACAATAAGAAGGAAATCGTGTGGCCGGTGGGCTTCGTTCATAATCCCGCCCTGGTATAATTATAACAGGTGGCAGTAACCGTACGGACATCCGCGCAAAGTTGAGAAAGGTCGCTTGAAAAGACTAGAACAGCCGACGAGACATCCAATCACGCGCTCGTGCGTTCCAGTACCCGTGAGACATTGTTCACACCGGCTGGGGTGGGCCCCGGCGAATTCATCGGCCGTTACCGGTGGGCCAGAAGAATTGGTCGCCGAGGGAGGGCGAATTCCGGCGACTTCGGGACAGACCGGAAGCTTGCCGAAGCACCCCCCGCCGTTGCCACGGACGGCCCCGGTCGCCTCCAGAGGAAGCAGGTGGTTTTTAAAACATCGAGGTTGACCGTGCGCTTGTTTCCAAGGCCTGCGGCATTGCGATTTGTAAATACTATTTGTAAAGTGTGATCTCTGATCATTAAATATTTAGATGTGCAAAAAGAACAAATTAATAACGATATATCGTTCCTATGCTGCGCCAAATTCCTGGAGACCCATTCACGAAAATGTACCTGTCCCTTGCATAATTTTTTTGTCGTGAAAGTACCGCTTCCCAGGTACGTCACAATATATACATATATATACATACATACATACATACATACATACATATACATATTGTGAATGTAAGGGTAAGTGTGTGAGGATAGGGCAAGGAAGACGGAGGAAAATAGCAGGAGGTTCATGACCCGTTTGTTAGGATACTGCTCCGGCATGTGCTTGGTGTTGGATCCGAGGAACCACGGAAAACTACCGATCAGTGCTGCCAGTTGCTAGAATTCTTCTCCAGATAGCGGATGAATGCGACCCAGCTATGTCGCTAGTGTAGAACATCCTGTTACCTTCGGGACTAGAACCCTAGGTTCTTCTGTCCTACAAGTCGGGGAAATGTTTTGAATTCTGAGTAAGTGTTGACACCAGGCGCGTCAACTATTGAGGTAATTTGTTCCGTAAATGTAGTGCACATGATAAGTTCTCGGGTGGCAGTGAGTCTTTCCCCACTGGATGATTATATCCAGCGCCGACCGACGCGTCGTCTCGCGTCCATGTATATCTGGCCCAGCAGACAGCGCCACAGTCGGGGTAAGCTCTGAGCTCCCGGCGAGTCTCCCGGCACGTACGGAAACGCGAATGTTAGTGCATCAGTAAGAAGAGAGGGGGACGAACGATTGCGCGCGGTTCATAGCCCATCGGTTAAGCTAAGACCTGCTCTGGAATTGTCTAGTATTGGCTGGAGAAGCTATAGAAAACCACGATCAGAGCTACCGGCGGCTAGAAGTCTTCTCCAGAGGATGTGTTCGAAGAATCTACGTAGCTAGTGTGGAAACTTTGCCATCCTGTGATTGCGAATCTGTCCTTCTGGTCAACGATGATGCAGATGCAACGATGATTTCGCACGTCCGGTTCCAAATGGTTGGTATCTATTAATAGATTGTGGGTACTTAAGAGAATTTTCAACGTGACAACAAACCGTATCTGAATGTTTATATGTATCGAATTTTGATGTATTTTGTTTACTTAGTTTAGATGTGTACAGAAAGATAAGTACTGACATGTACAGACTATTAGATATGCAGGATTTGCAAAATTAATGATGGTTTACCTCCTGAATAATTTGCGAAAACCAAAAACGATTTTATTTTCTAATTTCTTTCCAGTTCTTGAAATATAAACCTGGGTAAACCATGGTGGAAAGTGCTGGCAATGTTATTTCTTCACATTTTACCGTAATAGGTAAAATGTTTTTAAATGGTGTAACAAGAATAATGCGGTGAATGTTGGTACTCTGAATCTCAGTTCAGTACAGTGTTTGTCTTGCAGTGAACAACACGAACAAATGTTTATTGCCTACGAACCTAGTATCTGGATCTTACATAGAGTTCACACTAATAGTTCTTTTTCATGATGAGTGTAAGGGCTGAAATATCTCATTCGTTCATGAGCTTCTAACATAAATGTCGTGTGCTTTGAGGTGCGAAACATACCCTTTAAGTGATTCATTTACACATAAAATATTATGGTCTTTTCCAGTACAGAAAAGGAATAATAAATTGGATAGCTATTAAAATGATACAAACTAAGCATTATTTTACACATAGAAAGTACTTGAAGGAACTGAGCTTCATTTTGGAGGCAGGATGCTTTTATAATTTTTATGTCGAGGGAATCATTTCAATGGAATGAGTTTGTTGGGGACGTTTTACATTACTTCGTTATTAAGATCAAGGGATAGACCAATATGGAATTTACATTAATTGGACACATGTTAGTAAGTGGGTTCATGACCGTTCTCGTGATTCCAATCCTGTCTTTGACTGACGTAACACTTTTGAATCTCATTTTATTGTATTCAGTATCGTCGGATGCAGTAGGTCCCCCTCTACCTGATTTGGCTTTACCTCCAGATGTGGCTACCATGGTACTTAGACCGTCTTTGTCATTCCATCAGACCGATGTGCCCAAGTTTTCGGAATATTCCTTGCTAAATCACACTAGCCTAGACGTAGCAAAAACACCAGAGTGGACCTCAACGGACTTAATTTGGCATTAGCGCGTAGTTACACATGACCGTTACTAAGGCGCGTCACTTATGCGAGAATACGTATGTCCCACTGGTACCGGTACCTCAAAAACAAGACACAATGGAATGGTACTGCCACCGTAGAATGTTTACATGTCTCACAATCAATGTACGGAAGTCACCTGGGCAAGCCAGGGAAAATGAATCGAGTCTGGTGTCAACTGGTATGGTCATTATTCACTCTTTCTGCCAGTGTCGTGAATGTTTTTATTCTGGAAAATGGCGGTGATTCTTTCCCTGCTGGATGGTGAGACCCTAGACCGACCTACACGTATGCTTGCGAGTGATTTCCCAACCCGGTGACTCCCCCCCCGTCGGGGACCTCCTCTGACGGGACAAGCGCTAAACTCCTTCCTGATCTCCCGATTGAACGATTTATTAGTAATTCCGGGACAACAGATAAGGTCATTCGTCCCGTAAGTGTAGTGCACGTTTTTATCGCTGGAGGTTGCGGTAGTTTTCCTCCACTGGAAGGCGAAATTGGTCAGACATACGCCTGCTGTTGATCGTAGAAACCATAAAGAATTACCGTTTAAAGCAGCCGGTCGCTAGAATTCATCTTCAGACAGCGACTGAATTCGACCTAGCTATAGCTGGTGTCGAAAATCCTTCACCGTCGGGACTCAAACCCTGGGCCTTCCCGGTCGGAGTCGCTGCAGAGTTTGCGGTAATGCTGGCTCTGTATGGTGACTCAACCTGTATGGTGCGTGTTAGGTGAAGGAGTGTACGTCAGGCAAACTATACTTAGACGGGATATAAACCGCCCTTCCGTCAGAATCCGCCGCGGCGCTCCCACCGCAGAGCTCTCGGCCGCCCGCGCCGGCGTGGTTGGGCAGCCTAGCTCTGGAGATGGTTTTGCAACAGACGCACCGCTGTCGGATTCGGCGGCGCCCAGCACCGCGCCGGTGACGGCTGCGAAGACGCCCGTGAGCAGCAGCGACGCGCTCGCCAGCGCTTTCCGCCCCACACGGTCCTGCAGCAGGATGACCAGCAGGCACGACGGCAGCACCGTCGCCGAACTGGCGCTGAACATGACGAACGGGTTGATGCCCATGCCGCTGACGTGGCGCGACAGCACGTCGTAGCACAGCGTCAGCACCATCCTGCGGCAGAGCACGGGGCGGGCTAAGTGGCAAGGGCGTGTGGAACAATGTTCCAGGAGAAACGAGAGTACGGGCAGATGCTTTCGAAATATACTAGCGGAAATCCGTCCACATTTGACGCTTTATGTACTCATTGGTCTTGGCAATTACAAATCATTCAATTATACACTTATTTAAAAACAATTATTGACTTTGCGTTTACAAATCACTTATTGATCTTTGCGTTTATGAATCAATCATTGATCTTTGCGTTTATAAATCACTTATCGATCTTCATCGAGCAAAGTGCCTCAGGGCGTAACGCCCTGACTTCGCATTTGGGAGTTTCGTGTTCAAACTACGCGCCGTCTATCCTGACCGGGGTTTGCGTGGTTTCCCTTGACCCTCCAGGTGAATGCTGAGATGGTTCTACTGAGAAACCGCGGCAGCGAAACCGGTGTCGCAAGCTGAATTAGTTAACGTCGTTTAGTCACGAAGGTTAAGCGAAATCGAGACATCGCAGTGTCCTGGTTGGGTGCCCGACTAGGAACCCCGAGATCGAATGGTGCCGAGGCCTTTTGCCCTTTACGTGGTATATAATGGATATATACAAATATATTAATATTCGTATTTAAAACCTCGCTGTCTTTGATTCCCGAACTGTAACTGCACACTCATACGCTTGCTGGCGCCCAGCTCGCGGCAGACGAAACGATGGCTGCTTTCGATAGATCATTTGCAACTCGTACAATAAACTGAAATAATGAACAAACAAGTGCCTTCAAACGTTAATTAATTTAATATGAAGGTATTATTTATATTTAATGTTGACAATACCAAACCTATTAAAATATCAAATGATAACAGATTTAGGGAACCTTTCGTTTCATGAAAAATGACAAAATGTGGTTGAGTAGAAAGCTCAACAAACTTTCTCAACGAAAACCTTTTAGTGTTTTGAATAATTAGATGAAATGTAGATACTTAATTAAAAATGCAAGTAGTGACTTGTATTAAAATTATTCGTAGTATCTATGAATGTAAATTTAACATGAAGATCTCACATTTCCATCAGTCGTAAATTCTCTCCACATTGTGCATGCTCGATTCGTCTCTTCGGAATATTGTACAGTTGCACAATGACTTGAAAACTTATCTGGTTGAATGTCAACAAAGAGGACAATATGAAACCGCCTTGTCAGTCTCGGAAGTAATATTTGACGTGATCATTATGAAGTGTCACATCTGTGCACATTTTTTGTTCAAGGACTCGCATATCGTATTATATGAAGGTGTTTTGATGATGAATTGTATGAATCTGATGGATGATTAATAGTCCTAATTTCGGAGAGTTCTTTTATCTACTTTTTTCGTAAAATAGTCTATTTAACGCAATCGGTTTATATGATTATTATATTTTAAATAAATTCAATATTCATTAATATTATAAATAAATTCAATATTATAACAATATTGAATGTACTTATTATCTAACATTTTTATCTGATAGCTATGCACATATTTTGTTATGAACTAGATACAATATGCACTCGTTTTATCAAGAATTTCCATTTAATTTGTTGACGATTAGAATCTTATTGATAGTATTATTTACGTGTAATTAAAAATTCTCTTTGGTTTTGTAACTCTATTACTGAACCGAGTTCAGTTGATCTGATACCACAGGTAGGAAATATGAAGTGACAATGTAAAGTCACGTACCAAGATTCGTGAACTAAGCCCGACAGAATATTATTATAACATTAAGAAAATATTCCATCAAATTACAAAATTTCCCTTGATAACGGTACTTCAAAGTACGTTGAACTGAGTCACGAAATACAGATCCAAAGGAATATCACATTAAGTATGTGAGACTCGCTAATATCGTGTGCACCAATCATTACGATCGTACTTGAGCACGTAAGAAATATTAAATGAGCCTTCAATAATAATAGATAATGAAATTTCTACCCTAGGTTTATTTTCCAAGCGCTTGACTCACACAAAGGTGATGTGCTATTTCCAATTTAGTTGTGAATATTATTATTAATTCTTTTAAACGAAATATTACGAAAAACAGATGTATTGGAAAATATTGTGTGCACACACCATTTTATACATTATATTTCAATGGGACAGTGAGATTGGACACTAGATAAGTCAATAACATTTTTTTGATGTAGGGGTTATATTTGTTCAGAGTTAAAAGTGTAAGAACTTCATGTAAATAACTGTGTTTAAGTAGATAATACAACCATAAATCAGAACTTACGTTTTAAAAATGAGAATGCAGGTCTTCCTGCGCAGATTTGGAGTCTTGAACAAACCAACTAGGCTCCCTGATGGCGGTTTACGATACAATTTACTAGCAGTAGCAGCTTCCTGAAAGAAATTGGGATAATGTAATGTGATCTGATGGACTATATGCAACTTGTATGAACGCGGATGACAATAATAGTATTAAAATAATAGTATTTTAAAAATATATTTTCTTGCGCTTGGTCTTGCAGGAATTTGGGGAAATACCCAAAAGTATTAATTCAAGGAGATGAAAGTTGTGTCATAATTTCGTAAATATATGCCCCTCAAATGAAACGTACGAAGTTTTTCATCGCTCAGTTCAGCAGTTACTTCTGTTTACAGAAAATGTCAAAGAATCTCTTATTATTTAATATATACATCATTACGAAAATAAATATTCGTTTTAATTCACTCTGGTCTATCTGTAATTTTAATGTGAGAAGTATATGACACGTGTAAATGCAAACTTGCATTAATATGTTCCGTAGTTCGTAAACTACAGATTAATTCGAGTTGTGTTATGATGGTATGGTCATAATTTTTGTTTCAAATTAATATTACTGACCATTTTTATTTCAATTTTTACCATTAATTATTTGTAACTTGCCAATTATTCAAATCATATTCACTGATTTTGACTAAATTCCATACCAAAAATATGCCACACCGTCTTTTGACCACGCCCAAGACGTTTGGAAGATCCAATTCAGTAGTAAAACAGCGTATTTACTCTTGGCTTTTCCACTCCTACTGTCAAAACGCACTGCAATCCACCAATTAGGAGCTGCAAGCCGTGAGATTGGTCGAATATAACCCGTACTCAATGTTGTTGGCGTGGTTCTAGCTGGTGACAGCACTTAAGTGACTGAACGTAAGATATGCGTTTGTAGGCTAGAATAATATCGTGGGTTGCTCGAATACAATATGCAGGTGTTCAGGGAGGAAACAACGAAAGTAAGTTCTTAATGCAATTTTAAGCAAATTAGCTATTTTAAGCATATCCTTCGATATTTCGAGTGTTTGAGCCGCAAATAGTACTAAAGGCTGGTTTGAAAAATTACTTTCTATGCAAAAATTTGCATTACAGAGACACACAAACACTCCTGAAACATGTTAATTGTTTATTATTCATAAAATAAATATATTTGTTAACAAGAAAAATTAACATAGAATTGAAAAAAATTCATTGTGTTAATTGAGTTATTTTTTATTTTTTTATTATCTAAGAGGAGGTTTTACTAGAGGATGTAGACTTCGTAGAAACTTGTTCATCCACTATTGGTACATACAGAATAATACTAATACTAATACTAATACTAATACTAATACTAATACTAATACTAATAATAATAATAATAATAATAATAATAATAATAATAATAATAATAATAATAATAATAATAATAATAAAATACTAAAACTAACAACAGAATCATTTAATAAAACAACACAAAATGAAATTCAAACATGTTCCTGTTCCTTGGCAAAGTAATAATACGAGGCAGCAACGTATGGGAGAATAAATATCAACCGAGTAATAGAGTATATGAACATAATTAAAATCTTGATTGATTGAAACCATCAGGCAAACGTGCTTTCGATTGAAGCAAGCGTCGTGAAATTTCCATCCGTGCGCGCCCACCCTTTGTGGACGCGGCAGAGCAATAAAGAGAGAAGTGCGGGCGCGGTTGGCCACTCGCCTGGAAGCGCCGCTGCGCGTCGGGGTCGAGGCGGCGGCCGTTGCAGTGAGCGACACGGCGGAAGCAGCGCAATGCGGCGTCGACGCGGCCGCGCTGCAGCAGCCAGCGCGCGCTCTCGGGCACCAGCGCCCAGTAGGCCGGCAGCAGGGCGTGCGCCGCCGCCACGGCCAGCATGAGGCGCCGCCACGAGCCCAGCCACAGCGCCAGCCACGGCACCGCCACGCACCCGGCCGTGTAGAAGACGCCGATGGTCAGGTTGAGGCCCGTCGTGCGCAGCTCGGGGCTCAGGTACTCCATGACTGCGGAGCCGCGCGCGCGCTAGCAACCCCGCCCCACCCCACCCCACGCCGCTGCACTGCGCTTACAACGGGGGGCGCTTAGAAAGGGCTTGCGATCAGCTGGGATACATTCGGGACCTTTAATATTAAAAACAACAACTAGGCGTTGCCCGACCTTCATATCCAATCCTTGTGAAAGAGGAAAAAGATTTTTTACGATGTTTAAGATGATTATTTTTAATGTAGTTAGTTCAAGTTCTAATAAACTACTATAATTTTTTTAAATTTTATTTTAAATTACATTGCTATCATATTTTTTTATCTTCCCACTGCTACTGGCCTCTTGCGAACGATTATGTTATGTTCTGCTGCACCACTACCGCGGAATATATTAGGATCCAATCTGCTCTCAGCGACGGGCGAAAAATAGAGATGGTAGTGCATCTACCAACATATTATTTAATTTTATTTATTTTCCGCATTTGTGTTGTATTAATTTTTACCAAATTTTGCAACAATTCAAGATCACAATTTTTGTGACAATCCGGAAGGGCCTGTAAAAAATTCGTATCTATTCACACACTACTTTTCGTTGTATTGATGTTGAATTCAGTTGTATTAGCACAGATTAATTTGTAACTAACCTACCCTTTGGATAATCGCATCCCACCTGATCGCTATCAATTCGTCATGCAGATTAATAGGAGTATACTTATTGTATGTTGTTTTGGAACGTGACATATTCTCTCAGGGAAAATGGGGGCATAACATATGACACAAAGAACGTTTAAATACAACGCGTATCTGGACGTTGAATGCATAGTAACCCGTTTCACCGTCTGTCATGCAATATTTGATGCAGATAAACAAAACATGCAAGACACTCTAAAATAATTACATTTATTTAATTTTATAAAATTCATTTCATACGCATGCATTTTTAGATATTATTCTTCCTCAGATGCCCTAGCTTGAGGTGAAGTGGAAATCGCTTCAGTGTTACCTTGACAGTCATGTTCATTTTTATACAATTATTATTGTAAGCAAATGGAGACTGCAACAGAGGCTTGGCCATCTACCACAAACTTAGATTTTATCCCGGTGTCTGATTCCTTTATAAATTGCCGGGAAAGAACGTTTAATTTCTGGTGTCACGGCAAAAATAAATGTATGAGAAGTGAAGGGTTCTAATATAAAACACATCAACCCACACGGAAACACATACGAGAAACATACGAAAGAGAGTATTTTAATTTAAAGAGATTAAGTTGATTTCATAAAAGTAACAACCGCGCCGATTTGTGAGCCATAAAGTCAACTTTTTGACTAACGCACTGCACGGGAAACCGATGGCAGAAAAGAAAAGAAAAAAATAGAGGGAGACAAAGATTAATGATTATATATAGATAGGTGGGTAGATAGAAAATATCAGACATCGACAATTTCGAGGGACTATTACTTCGAGGCTGTCCGGGTGACGCAGCGACGTCACCCGGACAGTCTAGAAGTAACGGACTCGAGCCGCGGAAGCCGACGTGTAAATTTCGAGGGACATCTGCGTCCAAAAGATTTCCGTTGTCTGCAGTTTAGCAACAATCGTTTAGCTGCCGATTAAACGCAATGTGGCCTGAGCTTCGAGGAAGACCATGTACGAAAGCACCGCTTGCGGAGACGCACCGATGATGTACATCATGAAGAAGTTGGCGTCGGTGGCGAGGCCCGCGACGGTGCGCGCGGCGCCGAAGCCGGGCAGGTCGTGCACGAAGGCCGTGACGAGGTCGCCGAGCAGCGCGCACGCGTGCGCCACCAGCAGCGCCGGCAGCCGCCCCACGCGGTCCGACAGCACGCCCAGCGCCAGCGTGCCCGCCACCGACCCGGCGAAGAAGAGCGACTGGCCCAGCGCCAGCCGCCACTGTTCCGCGCACACCCAGTCCAGCTGCGCACACAGCACACGGGCGTTGATTTCGTTATTTACAAGGCGGATGTTTCAAAATAGGTTGATTTGAATTATTGACTTGGATCTTGATGGATTTAGACCGTGATAAATTTACTACATAATGTGTTAAAGTATAATTTTTTTGAGTTTCCGGGCCCATCAACGGCAGTCCTTAGACTGTTCTATATAGTGCTGCTCTGTCATTCGCCTGGAAGTTATCAGGAAAATTACTAATTAGGGCAGTCGGCCTGCCGTCCCTGCCGACATACACGGCAAATTCGCTGACACGTTGCCGGCATCGAACCCACCATCTTCCAGTCGTCGGCACGGGTGGACGATTCACTTTGCCATGAGGATCCGGTCCCGAGAATAAGTACTAAAAACGACCAATTCTCTTTCTCTCTCTCTGGTTTTGGCTTTAGGAAGGGCAGGGAAGGGGGAGTTTGACCAGGTAAAGTAGTACAACTTTGCTTACATGAATATTGATAAATACGCCTGTAAGTAGAGTGTTACTAAAATAGATAAGTTGCGTCAACTTTATTAGTGGAATAAATACTAAGAAAATATACAAGTGTTTGCATTTTATAATGTTCAAACATTGCGACAATCCTTCACTGTGTAATCATTATTGTAAACGTGAAACACGTAGCTGCATATTGGATTCCAACTTCATATGCCGAGATCCTGAACTGTGTTTTACATCATGTAAGCACGGTATCGTTTGTGGGAAAACATTCGAATATTGCTGACGATTATTAAAAAGAAGATAATCTTAAACCCAAGCACATTGATAATGCGCAGAACATAATTTTATACTTAAATGTTTATTAGCCCGTTAATTACCTCTTCTTTAAAATATATATTGGTTGTTGACTAACTTGTTTCGTAGTAGAGCATGGAGAGAAATACTCTGATCTAGAACATCATCGCAAACAGATTCAAAGCTTCTTACCAACAGCAATATGTTCAAAGTACATTCAAGTGTATTCGACCAAATTACTTCGTAGGAATACTCTCAAACTCTTGACCACGATCTAAGGTTCTATAAAATTTAATGAACAATTCGACCAATATAAACCTTAAAGTGTTATCGTTGTTACGTTCTGCATCAAAAATTCTAACCAGTGAAACATCGAAAGACGACACATTTAGTTCACTTTTCAAAATTCAAGTATAATTAGATGTTTAAGAGTATAAATATCATTTTTTGATGATAAACAAAACGAAATTTGTAAACACTTTATTCTATACTATGAAGCTACTGAAATGTCAAAAAGTCTGCTGTTAGCTGCTATTCCGCATTTCATACTGAAACATTTTGAGACTTTTTTAAATTTTTAATCCGCCATATTGGATGTAGCTTTTTGTTTTTTTCCAGCGTTCACATGGGAGTCGGAATCAACAAAACTT